CCCTCGTTCCTTGGAAGAGGGTTTCCGCTAGGATTTTTTCTCGCCGGTCAAATGTCCTGACAGAATTTAGTTTACCGGACAAATTTGAAACTTACCGGTCATGCTTCAATGTATTAATAATAATAATTGTGTAGCAGAGTTTCTTTTAGCAGGTAATCACCGGACTATGACCAGATATGCTGATGTTTAAAACTCAGTTAATGGGAGTCATTTTTATATTGCTTCAGTTTATAATCGTAACAGATCGAAAAATTCAGATTCATTTTTCAATAAATGATTCCACAACAACTTAATTATTACATTCAAACAAACTACTTGCAGTAGATGAAGTACATTATTCAAAAGTTTACATTAACTTTGAATAATAACACGGGACAAACGGATCCTCTCTCTCTCTCCTGACAGCCCGTCAGTTTCTCATACAGCGCGCTAAACAGTGGGCGGGGCTTCAGGTGATCAGAGCTGCGTGTCTCGGTCAGACTCAGCAGCTGATCTGATCTCTCTCTAGCGTCCGGTTACACTTCACTCGCGTTTATGTCCATATCGATCAGATCCAGCTCTCCTGATCGGCCTTTATAGAGAGGACAGATGAAACTATTAAGAGTGAATATCGGCCGATAATGGCGGCTAATCGATCGGAGCATCGGACATTTTGACCGGCAGGTTTTGAATTTACCGGTTTTTATTACATTTTACCAGCTAAAAACCGGTAATTACCGGCTAACGGAAACCCTGAACGGAATGTGTTTTTCAGTTATATTTGGGACTGTGACAAAATATTTATTTCATTTAAAAAAGATTTCTGGTTTGATATTCTGTCATCAAAATGTTTTTGCTCTTATGGTACTGGAAGGAAACACTTGTTACAACCTCATTTTCAATCACTAAACTATTTTAGGACAACTAGTGCTTGAACATCTGCCCTGCAGCTGTGAAATGGCCATCTTTTTGTATTTCTACTTTGGTTTTTGTAACCGATAAACCGATCATTCTGGTCTGCTGCTCTTTCAGAGACAGCTAACTTGTGGTCACCTTCCCAGCTCCTAAAAGCCCCGAAATGATTCATGAGACAATATTTGAAGTGCCCAGCAGGAGGTTGCACAACCTTTTTATACTGCATGTTCTCTACTTGTTTTGTGCTATTTCCCGTTTTGTTAAACATATGTTTTTATTGGGTTTTTTCTCTGGTCTACCCTAACAAATTAACTTTTTGTTCTTGAACAACATTGGCTTACTGTCACTGAGCTTTCTCTGACTGCACGTCTTTTGTCCGTGTTTCAGATTGAGATCAGTCGGAGGGTGACTCTGGAGGAACTGCCCCCTGTGCTGGTGCTCCATCTCAAGAGATTTGTTTTTGAAAAGACTGGAGGCTGCCAGAAACTGATCAAGAACATTGACTACCCCGTTGACCTGGAAATCAGCAAAGGTATGGACTCGTACGTTACGGGGCACAGCAGGCCTTTACACTCATACATATCATTTGTGTATATAGTGTAGATTTCCTGGACTAATGTTAATAAAAGCTACTTTAAATGTCACTTAATCATGACGAGACGCATGTCTAGAGGGTTTAGTACCATTCATTAGAACTCGTAGCCTAAATGGATTTGCGAAATATAACTCAAATGTAACATTTACTCTATAAAAAAGATGGTTCCCCGGAGAAACGCAGATAAATGGTGTGTCTTTTCTTAAGGGGAATGATTTATCTGCTGAAATAGCGCAATAAACTCATGATAAAGATAAACAACTGCACACATCTAATCATTCTAAAAAATCATTATCCATCTCTAAACATGCTTAGAGGAATTGTGAACAGAATAATTCAAGATCAAAGTAAAAACATTTAACACTACGAGGCTTTTTACCATTTGGTACAACAAGCTTTTTTCTGCTATGTTATATTATTGTACATCACACTAACATGTTCTGTTTGGGTTCCTTTCAGATCTCTTGTCCACTGGAGTGCGTGGCAAAGTTGTGAAAGGCCAAAGAACGTACAGGCTCTTTGCAGGTACGTTTGTGTTTTGTTGCTTATGAACTTTGGTCACATTGTAGCATCTGCTGCAAGGGGAGTTTAATCGTGTCGTGTATTTGTTAAATATTGTCACTGGGGGTTTTAAAATTATCTATAAGGTGGCCTAAAATAAGAATGCAGCCAACGGTACTCAAAGAATGTCTGTTCCTTTCTGTGTTGAGCCTGAATACATCTAGCTTACAGTAGCCCCCCCCCCTTTGACATCAGGATAAACCTTCTTATCATAATTATTTAAAAAAGTGAAATCAGTCCTCCAACTGGAATAAAATCTATTTGTATATCACTGAATCGTTATTTTAATCCCACTATTGAAATCGTTAGCTTTTGAGTGAGAATAGAAAATAAAGAAGCATTACCAGCTAAGGGCAACACCCTGTTAGCACTTGGTTTTATGTGTGAAAAGACAAGTATCTATCATTATGACTTTTCAAACTGTATTCTAACACTCGGTTGAGTAAGACCTTTTTAATTTCATTTATATAATCATTAAAATAATAAAGCGATTGATAGTACCCATTATCATACATTGTGGGTTAATCTTCTGGATTAACAGCTCATTTAAAAAGAAACAGCTGACACTTCAGTGCCCATATTCGAAGAGTAATGACTTGAATGAAATGTTCCACATTTCTCTAATGTCTTTTTCCCCCCACTATAACAGTTGTCTATCACCATGGGAACAGTGCGACAGGCGGTCATTACACCACGGATGTCTTCCACATTGGTCTTAACGGCTGGCTGCGCATCGACGACCAGGCAGTGAAGGTCATCAATCAGTACCAGGTGGTGAAGCAGACTGCAGAGCGCACCGCCTACCTGCTGTACTACCGCCGCGTGGACCTGCTGTAGACACACACTCACACACACCCACTCACACACACTCACACACACACACCCAACACACGCGCAAGAATACCCAAATATACGCACACACTAAACATACATGCTCCGAATGCACTCGTTGACAGGACAGTACATCTACACGTGACACAAACACACATGAAACTAATGAACAGGAACACTGCCCAACTTGTTCTCTTGCAAGATTTTCCTCTTCTTCCCTCCTGTCCCTGCTTTCCTGAGAACCAGCTTTTCCAACACCTTTTTCCCCCGTCTCTTTTTTTCTTTCTGGAGGAAGAGAAACAAGCTGCATTCACGAAGATTTCCCTGTGACTGCTCTCTCTTCTCTGTGCACCACTGCTGTTTTTTTTTGTTGTCCTTTTTTGTTTTTACTTTTAAAGCAGCAAAGAAAGGACTGTTGAATAGACCGAGGTGGGGTTGGGATTACATGTTAGGACCTGAGACTCTCCTCTGAGTGAGCTCACCGAGCACACAGTGGACTCAACGCAGGAAGAACTCTGTACCACAGGCTGCGAGTGGACCGCTGGGGTAATATCTCCTGTCATGAATGACCTGTTTTAAGGGAATTACCCAGAAATATCAGTGTTCGCCCTTAAATAAAGGAGATCTGTTGGCCTGATATATTTGCAGCAGTTTAAAAGCCTGTTTGATTTTGCCCTCATGAATTTAAAGGCCCAGCACCAGCATTATCGTGAGTCTCTCCTCCCAAGGCCAGATCGTCGTCTTTGCCACCAACAAAAAAAACTCTGCCATTTCCTCACTTTTATGATGCTTTTAAATCAAGGTACAACTTGAGCCATCAACAACAGGAGAAAAAAGAAAGATGGTACATCAAGAGCTGAACAGCGTCCTTGTTTGAGAGGTCCTTGGTATGGTATTTGGGTTTAGATGTAGAAAGAAAATATTACTGCGCTTTAGAATTTAATAACAAATACGCTTCTGTGCACAAAGTATAAACTGATTGAGGATTACGATATGACAGGCAAATGCATATTTTACAAATATTTAGATTAAAATGTTTAAAAGAAAACAATAAAAAATATGAAATCTGACTGAAAACTTGCGTGGGTCCCTAAAGGACTGCGCTAGTTTTCAGACTCGGTTATTGCACTGGAGAAATGGCAACCAATCACAACAGATTCCACTGCAAAACCCGCCCTTGTTTACTTTGTACATTTCCTTCTCTGAATTCTTTTTTTGTCTTCACGTGTTTAAAGGTTCCACCTGTGGATAGGTGGTTTATCAGTGTAGTTTTGAGCCTCACCACCCCTCTTAACCCCAACTCAGCAGAAAGCGGGGGCTGCCTTAGGTTCATTGTGTGATGTTTTTCCACTCAGTGCACAAGTCTAACCCTAATCAGGCGCCAACCGCAAGTCTAATGTCTGTGACGAGTTAGGGGAATGTACCTGACATCTTTGTATTTACTCTTTTGTGGCTCAGCATTTCCTCCTAGTGGAGGGAACCTGAGTGTCGAGGGATGTGGGACTACATCTATGCTAAGCTCTGCAAAAGAAAAACCCAGACATGTGCACAAAAGGAGATAGTGTTTGCTTTGTTAAAGATTTTTCTTTTCTTTTCTTTCTTTCTTTTGGATCATTGATTGTGATGATTTCTGTTTGAGTTACTAAAATGTTAGTTTTTATTTTGTCATGGATCATTGATTGGATTTCCCGATGCTCTCGCTCCCTTCAGAAAAAATATGCTTGCATTTGAATTGGTGTTTGAAAATTACACAGGCTAAAGCACAATAATGAATAAAATTGAACTAGTTCTTTGCTTGATATTTATTTCCTTTTTTGTCATTTTTCTTTATAATTTAGTTATTTTTCCCGCTTTATTTTGCCCATTTTAATTCCAACCACCAGTGTCACTATCTCAGTATTAACACTCTCAAATTAATTTATCTCAAGTATTTTAAAGGATTTAAAGATTGTGTACTTTGACATTTTGACACTTTTCTCGCAGATAGTTAATTATCACAAAGTACACAGGTAAGCTGTTGGTTGTCCCGTAATTTCCTGTCTCAGATCAAAAAGAAGGTGCCGTGTAAACATTATTTCCTGTATTTTAAAAACTGCAAGTATTTCACTTAAACATGTCCCTTTTTTATAAGTTTGTCGTACAAAGACTGAATTGGTTCAGTTTTTCAATTTGAAATGAAAGGTCAAAATTACGTAATATCACATTTATCTTTTGCCTCTTGTGTAATATTATGTGGTGCATAGTTTAATTGACATTTTCTTGTTGGTTTCAGAGTCAGAAACCTTCAGGTAAACCACAGGAAAACATAAACGGCCCTTTCCTTATTTTCAGACTTTATTTTGCCTTTTCCATCGAGGTCTTGTTGCCATCTCACGGCTCATTCCACACCGGAAACTGAGGCATGCCGCTTAGTCGAAACATCTTCTAACTTTTATGATACTTCAGTTGTGCTGCTGGCTTTGTAGTCATTTCGGCACAAATTGTAACATTGTTGGTTTACGTTTTTTTATTTCCCCTTTTTTTGAAGAATGTTTGGGAGTTGGGACTTTGAACTGACACCTTGAGCTTTCTGTTGTACAGTTTTATCTCAGTCTCATGGCTGGTCAGGAAATGTGCTGGTGAAATGCTTCAATGTCTCTTTTCAGTATGTGCGCTTAACACCATTGTCTGCTGGGATTTGTTGGGATATTGACCTAAAAAAACAAAATCTATTGTCTTTTAATTTTAAGCCTCCAGCGTTCTATTTTGTTAATTGTTCAAATAAAGGATTGTGCAAAAAGAAAGTTTGCTAATGAAGTGTAGTCAGAAGACTACTTGGCTTTCTTATAATGGTAAATACTGAAACATCTGCAGTCTCTACAGCCTGGACTGGCCTACCGAATAATGTGCACAATAAACCAAAACAACAAAACGAACCACTGAGTCTTGGTCTACCGCACACTGCTAATTGGTTTTCTTGTTCCTGCATGTCAACACACACTATTTGTAGCATGTTGTATCTCCCCTTCCTGTGGTCTCGCTGGCTGCCTTGCTGCCCGCATCGCTCTCTTTAGGCCCAGGCCGAGCTCGCCTGTTTGCTTTAATGGGAAGTAGAACCCATCATTGAAAAATTTGCAGTGCAAGGTTTTTCTGCCCTTTAGTATTCCTTACTATTTATTCCTTCCTTGCTATAGCGCTGCCGTCCACTGAAATGTGGCTTTGCACTCAAACTTGCAATCAAGCGTAGTATTTTCCTTGTTAAATGTCGGGAGGGAGCTACAAGGAATCCTTTTTTACAGTCCCAGAGCCTGAAGGGCAAATTACATGTTTTGACTGATAGACCACCTATACTCACCAGTGTCTCCTTCAGCCATACTTTAGGGATAATCATGTATGTACATGTTTTAGCCTTGTCACATGGGTCTTTTTAAGGTTTTTCTGGGAATGCGTAGGACACTTTTCAACACAAGCAAGTCAATTTAAAGATCATAGTAGTGCAGCAACCGCCGGGGCATAGAACCAGGAGCAACACATTTGGGCTAAATGGTACCTTACTGTAACATGAGCATGTTATTGTTCCATTTAGATAATTATAATTATTCACAGGAGCTGACCAATCCAGAAATGTCAAAGCACATGCAGCAGCAAATGGGAACAATGGGGCATTGTGACATCTACCTGCTCCACATCCCATAATGACTTGTGTTTTAATAAGCCAGGAGATGTCCACTACCCCTTTTGTACTGAGGTGTCTGAGTGATAAAGCTTCGTGATCCAGCTCATCTAATGGCTGATGCATGCAAACAGAAAAAGCTCAATGAGGTGGTTAAATAGTAAATAAATTGGCAATTAAATAAGTGATACTCACACACTGCCAATTTGGTATGAATGCAGCTATAGGAATTTGAGCCAAATCTGATTGGCTTAGCAGACAAATTGTCCTGTACTTTATATAATGTGCTGAAAGTGCCATGTCTGCAAAAAAAGAAATAAAAAGATTTAGAAAAAAAGAACAATCTCATTGGCTTGTTAAATCTGATGTTTCTGACCTAGGCAGCCAACAAAAATCTCACTGTCCTATTGCAAAGTTTATGGGTTGGTAGGCACTGAAGATACTCAACTTTATATGCACAAGAATTGAAAATGTGATTATGTTCTTTTAAAATGTAAGGGGGGGAAATCACTTCTTGGCGTAGATGCTTGTGTCCAAACCGAGGGGTCACAAGAAGATATTTCTTTATTTTAAGTGGTCGCAAGCCAAAAAAGGTCAGGTTTAGTACACATTACTGATTATACATTCACTTTCCATCTGAAGGCTGTAAATAGCAGTTACTTGTGCCATAAGTGTTGGCTCTGAAGTTTCTCGGTAAAACTTCTGGCTTTGAATCTGGAATGCCTGGCATGTGCTCTGTCTGTGCTGGTCCTCCATTCAAGATGTTGCCAACCACTAAAGCCACAGTATGCAGGTTTCTTATCTTTTGTGCTTTCATTTGATTAATCATGGCCTCTCATCAACTCTTTATCCTCGTAGGAGTGATCTCTCTGCATTTCCTGTCCCGTTACGATCTAGTTTGTTTTTATAATCAGACTCATACAACATATGGTGCCTTCGTTAAGTCTCCCCTAGTTTTTCCCCTCTGAATTGTCTTGCGTCTTGTTTAGAGCTCCAACAGGACTCCACAGTTTCTAAGGAGAGGCAAACACTGTGGCAAACACGGTTTCTAAGACCTCCACAAGGTATGTGTGTGTGTGTGTGTGTGTGTGTCCTTCCTTGAACTTCCCAAAAATGAAAACTAGGGTCCCACCTGCTCGACATTGTATCAAGTTATAAAGTAAACAAGAAGTTTCAGTGGTGTAATCTCTGTTTTGTCTTGAACTGAGACTAATCCAGACTTGTGAGTTTCCATTTGGGATCAGTTATAAATCAGAATTGATGTGGCAGAGCGGTGAATAACACTTCTGAGAAGAACCCTCTTCCGTCCCTTGGACATTTTAATGCACTCAAGTCTGAGTAACATGATTACGAACGTTTGTCACAAGGGACTGCTTGGGATCGGGAAATGCAGATTGAGATTTATGACATCAGAGCATAGAAATACAAGCATCATAATCTAGGAAACCCACTTCGTCACAACATCGACCCTTGTCTGGCAATAGTTTTGCCAAAATACTGAGATAGATTTATATCAACTTGATCTTCTGATTTACAGTGTGTGAAGCAAGACATCAGGAAACCATTGAGATGAAAGCCAAATGTGTATTTTGAAAGGTCTGTGAAAACAAAGAGATGGTGATGAATTTAAAAAAACAAAAACATTGAAATGCACTTTGACAGAATTGTCCCAGAGCACTTAATTCTTCATTATAATGATATATTCATAGTGAACTAAACAAAGCTGATATTTCTGAATCCAGTATCCTGGTTACGTTTGATTCTGGTTTCAGAAACCAGCAAAATGTGGCATAGCCTACACAGGTTTCTGGTGGCTGTGTGTGTTGGTGTGTTGACTACTTCGGTCACCTTCAAGTTCCATAGTAAAACGAAACATCTCAATGTAAATTATTTAAAGTGGCACTAAAATAAAGAGAAACAGTCTGACTTCAGTAATGCAGTGCATGAGTTGTAACCTGGATAATGTTATGATCATGTGAACGCAGTAGAAAATACCAAAACTTTTCATGTTCATATAAACGTCATATCCCAAATATGATCAGAATTAAGTTTTGATACACAAAAACATCTACTTCCACATCTGGATGGGTTCATATAAAGATAATCAATCTGTAAACGTAGCTGCAGCCAATTCAAATTATGTGTTATTACTGAGGGTGATGGTTCTATTTTATTTCTGGAAAAAACATGCTTTCGCATAAAGCTCATATTCTGATATTGTTGGAAGAAAGTAGCCAGCATTATACTACTAAATGGATCTCAATATCATTAATAAAGCCAGAAATATCACCATTTATATCATCTCTGGATTGGGAGGCTTTATTATAGGAAAATTATATTACTGAAATGACAAATTGTCCCAAAACTATACAGCACAAATGATTAATTGAAATTAGGACAGAAAGCCCTTTCTAGCTCAGAGAATAAATTAGTCAAATTAATAAAATCAGTATTTCCAGACTGTTGGCCTGGCGATATAGATGGACCCCTATGAGTTTGATCTTACTTTTTTCTTGTTCTGTGTCACAAAACATACTTTTCCTGTGAACATCTGTCTACAAACCGTTACCACTGTTTCTAGCATCTCTGCAGGATGTTTAGGAAAGAGCGCAGATGCATGATGGGCCAGACTTCCTGTCAAACATGTATGTTTGACTGCACAGCCCAAACTGGCATTCCTGCTGAGTGGCGGCGCTCTGGCAAATATCTACATGTTTCAGACAGAAATCAAGCTCATGATAGAATAAAAATGTTAACTATTTGGGTCATAACATTTATATATACAGAGTCTATGGTCATAACACACCCTCTGCAGAGCCAGGAAGGAGATACAACATGGACAGTTTTCAATGCAGATCCTTTTTCACCTTTTTATCCTCTCTAATTATGTGAAATGTTTTAATACTGTATTTAATGTCATGTGATCGTAGTTATGTTAAGTTTGACAGCAGTGGCTCTGAAATGTTTTTATACAACATTCCCTCCTATCATAAGATTGTACAATGTTTGGTATGCAATGTATGATAGAGGAGCACTTTTAAAAGGTTTTGCTGAAGACAAACTAATTCAGATTTTAATTTATTATCACACCTTTAACAAATTAGATCCATAATTAATTTGACATGTAAAATGATATGTTATGTGCTTTTATCT